AATTTGTGCAAGCTTTTAAACTTTTATTATTGTGGTTTCTGTTATAGATTGAATTATGTTTTAAAGGAAATTATTAAAAATAAATAAATAAACATAATTTGCAAACAATATCATTTTGAATTTCGTTGCTAATTAGTTGATCGCATCTGTATGTACTACAAGTATCCATATGCGCATGCCTGGGAAATGGATTTGCATTTGACTCCAGAACTATTATTTACAAATAATATCTACGAGTATTGCAGTAAAAGTCAAAAACAACTTTGAAGTTAACAAGTGTATTGCTTTGTACATTTTTTTGTTAATGCGTCCATCTTTAAAATGAGTATGTGAAAAAACCAAGTTTATCATTTTTTGTAACTAACATGCATTTTTACTATTTACATAATATAATACTCGTACAAGAAGGGAACTTGAACAGATGCTTTTTAAGTTTTTAGCACCATTAACTCATGCAGAAATGCAAGTCAGCAATTTTAACTAATATAAAAGTACATTTAATATAATTTAACTATATTAATTTATTTAATTTTATTAAAAAAATATACATGAATACGTTTCTGCATTCACATTGAACCTAGCAACACATAGCCAGACACTTGCAACAAATATAACATTATCATAACACAAATTTACATTTTTCTCTGTTAACTCTTGTTGAAATGTTAATCGCGCTGTGGTGATATTCCATGGATTTATTTTTCAGCCAAACAATTTTACGTTCCAAAAATTTGCACCTTCTCTATCTATCTAAGTTCTCTGGTTCTCTGCAAGTAAATACAATAACAAAGCAAGGTGAAATGAAAAGAAAATCCAATAAGAACAACGGTGTTGCAAATTCAACGAATTGTTGCAAAAGCCATGCGCGAAAACGAGACGGCCGTTGTTGCCACATGAACCGATTGCTTTTGTTGTACAGCTTTGTATTTTTTCATTGCTTTTATCTGACATTTCTAGTTGGAAAATTGGCTGGCAAAGGAAACTGCAACAACGCTTGAAGAGCTGTTGTCGCTGCTTTGGCAAAAGCCAAATCAGTTGTCAAATGTGTTTGAGACGTTGCGCCGAGTGGCTGGCGAGTGTTTGACTGCAGCCATTTTAATGGCAAAGTGAAAAAAAAAACATAAGGAGACCAATCTAATTGGAAGAAAAATTTATTTCAAGTAGACAAAGTGGTGTTGTGAGCACTAATAAGTAATTTTCTTAAAAAAATGTACGCTTGCAAAGTGCAATTCAAGTGAGGATGAGAGACTTCCGACGTGAAAAAGGTTTGTAGCGAAAAAAAGTTTGAACGAAATAAAACATTGATTTGTTACAAGTGATGCGGCTCATACCGACATCGTTCCATTTAATTACACGCGCAGCAATGCACTGCTCCAATTTCTGCTGATATTTTTGTGTGTCGCCATAACATCACCGCCCATCGACTCCCCATTTGGCAGTGAAAGTATTTCCGTGAGTGCAACTTGTATGTAGTAAGTACTTCATTTACTCATTGCCATTCAACGCTGCTGAACGTGAACGTCTTTGCAGTTTCCTAATCGCTTTAGAGCAGCGCTGAGGCGTGAAATCTTGCCGCAAGTGCAGCGACGACGTACACAGCGACGTCGACTGTGACTGCCACAGCATTGTCTACATGGCTGCACTGTAATGGCATTTGAGATTTCGTAGTTTGACTTTTGCTAGTGCCACGCCAGCGTCACCTCTTATGCGTCCTTGAATCGCTGGCGCCTGTGATTTTTGTTGCTGTCGCGGCGACCTATTGTTTTCGCCACAGCGCTGAGGCGATTTCTTCCGGCGGAAACGCTGCTGTCGCATATTGATAGAATTTAGCATTTGGCACTGTAGGCGTACATTAAAAAAACAAAGAATTACAAAAACAAAAACATTTGATGGATTAAAAGCAGTGCTGCCAATTTCATTGTGAATTGGTAAATAGTGGGAGTGAGGAGGAAGTGAGTGGTGGCGTAACCTGTTGGCGGCTCAAATGGAAACATTCAGACATATTTACGTACATAGTTACCATTTGGAATAAAAGTAAATGAAAGAATTAACACATATGAATAGTGTATGTACGTACATATGTACATAAGTAGCAAATGTGAAAAACGTAAAAAACGGCGCAAATTAAACGCGACGAAAAATCGATTGTGCTCAATTCTCCATGCCAGTGACATGACGTGGTGTCATTCGACTAGTGAATGCCAAAATACAAGCAACCAGTAGCGGAGTGTCCTTTGAACGAAATAATAAATAAAGCATATGTACACACAAAAAAAAAATAATTAAAAAAACTATGGAAAGTAAAAGTGACTAAAAACATTTGAAATACCGTAAAACCGAATTTTCGCTGCAATTTTATTCAAATAAGAATTAAAAATAGAAACTACTTTTAATAACCTTATATTTACCACGTTTTACGTCCTTGCCGCACGCATGACTCATCCATGCTTTAACTGACCCCGTTTCGTACCATTGTCGTTGGCTTAAAAAGCAACAAAAATAATAATATAAGAATCAGCACATCAACATAACGTCTCGTCGCATTTGGAAAATGAAAAGTCACAACAAATATGCAAAATTACCCCAAGATTTAGATTTAAGTTTCCAAGAACAATTGGATGTGGATGCAGGCGCTTCTGATGATTTCAATTTAGCCGCGGGCATTGGTTTGGCAGACGATACTGACGACGAAGAACGTATCGCAACTACTGGCACAACGGCTGAGGGTCACGCTTTCGACGACGAAGAGGACGAAATTGTAATAGCAACAGCTGCAGGCGGCGGTAGTGTAGGAACACGCGCGGATGTTGGTAGCGGCGGGATAGCAAGTGTGCGTGTAAACTCGTCAGCGACTGGGGGCGACAAAAAAGTACGAGGCGGTGTTGCCGTTTGTTTGGGCAGTGATAGTTTAATCGAGGTAAGTGAACATGAATTAATGCAATTTAAACCGTTGTAACTTATGTAAGAATAGGTCGATAGTTGCTAAAGATTTAGGGGTCCGAAAAAAGTAACCAAAGGCCAAAAGTCTTCTTCGATATCTGGTTTGTGTAATTCATATCATTACCTTAATAAAGAAAGGCCCTATCTCACATCAATGCTGAAATACAAAAAGCAGTAACTAACTAAAAATCCAAAATTCAGCCTTTGATTGATTATGATGTATTTAATAGAATTCAAATACGTACATATATACAGTCAGTCAATAAAGTTAGGTACAGGGATTTTTTTACAATACGGGCAACTATTTTTTAAATATTTTAATTTTCGATAATTTTGTATAAAAATTTGGTCAATTCTACCCAACCCAAAAATCAGAGTTCCAAACCTTGGGCAAAATTAAAGAAAATTCGGCAAAATTTCATTAAAATATTGCACTTTTTATTTACGCTCTCTAGAAAAAATTTGAGTATGCAGTTTTTTAGCGCATTCAATTTTAGTATAACAAAATGCAAGTATGAGGAAGCTAGGACTTACCACTGATTTTTGGGAAATTTTTTTGTTGAAAGTGTCGCACATTTTTTCCATATAAAAAAATTATTAAGCATTATTTTATATGAAGAAAATGAGCGACACCTTCAACCAAAAAAATTCATAAAAATCAATGTTAAGTCCTAGCCACCACAAACTTGCACTTTGTTATACTAAAATAGAGTGGGCTAAAAACTGCATACTCAACTACTTTCTAGAGAGCGTAAATAAAAAGTGCAATATTTGAATGAAATTTTGCCGAATTTTCTTTAATTTTGCACAAGGTTTGGAACTCTGATTTTTGGGTTTTTTGTTGTAGAATTGACCATATTTTTATACAAAATTATCGAAAATAAAATATTTAAAAAATAGTTGCCCGTATTGTAAAAAAAACCGCTGTACCTAAACTTTATTGACTGACTGTACATACATATGTACATATTTACGTATATATATTTGTATATCAAAGGAAACCGCTTCAAAAGCTTATCCAAAAAAACACTATAATGAACGTATGTACATTTCTACATTATTCGTACTACAAATATTTGTACAGAAATTTAGACCATTTCCACAATTACTGCTTTTTCATAAAATACTGAAACAGTAGTATTGGTAAATAATCTTTCAGTCTTCAGGAAAATTCAATAGAGATATGATTAAATACTTGTACACTCCTAGCACAGTTTTTTTTTCAAGAAAGTCGGGAGAAAGGCTCAAAGATTCATATAACTATTTTCAAAGCTCTATTGCCGAGCAAGCTAACATTAGGTGTATTCGCGTATTCTTCCAGCAGAAAACTCTCAGCAGCAAAATTCTAATGAATATTTATCTGATCCCTCTCAAAGAGAGAAATGCTAGCAAAAGTACGCGAACGCAAAACCAGCAAAACCTTTCAAGGTTTTAGTACAGCTGATCGAAATTTGTTTACATAGAAAGGCACAAACATTTATCCAGCAGAAACTAGCAGCTTTTCATCAGAATGAAATGTCAATTTTGTCTCTCAATTTCCCCTACTTTCTGGATTTTTGTGTACGTGAACAGGAAAATCTGATAGTTTTTGATAGTTATCGATAAATCTTAAACGCTACTTGAGCAAACGGACTTAGAAAGGCACCGGTTAAAAATTCGAAGTTCTCGATTTAATCAGAAGTGGGATAATTCTAATTTACTCTATTTTTGAGAAAATTTGTACGTGATTTTTATTTTTTTTTTTTAATTTCGTTAACACCCTACAAACCAAAGTTCCAAAAATCTTTAAAAATTTTTTAAGAGTATCCGAATTTTTAGTGAATCTTCAAAGAAAATCATATGAAGTGGTTGACACGAACAAGTAAAGAAATTTCTTCTTAAAGGAGATCCCGAAAAATTTTTCAAATCCCATCATTTTAATTTTAAGGAAAGAGCTGGATAATGCCACAAAAAATACATGAAACAAAATAGCGACCTCAGCGACCCACCAGTATAAAACCACACTCGAAAAAGAAAAGCAAGAAAAAAAGAGGCAAAGTATGAAAATCGAAACAATAACCAATAAACGGAAGCACCGATGGACAAATAATGCCAATGTACAATACGTTTATGCCATTCGGAGCTGGCAATGTTCACCACAAATAAAAACAGCACAGTTGACGACAGCGGCGGAGATTTAAGGCCTTCCTCAGGTGCATTGATTGGTATGTGCCACCTTGCAAATGTAATATTCACGACGAGAAGTAATAAAATGAATCGATTAAATTGAATTTCGATTTGTGGGAATGCTTGTATGTAATATACATACATACATATGTACTTATGTATATATCGCCGTACCGTCATCAAAAGAGCCACAATTCAAAATAATACGTTTGTCAAAAAATGCGAAAATTATTTCTTAGCACATGATAATCATATGGGCAAGGGCGACTTTACCTTAGGCTTTTTTTTTTAAACAATAGCAAAAATTTGCTCCAGCTTTTGCTGAAAAGTAAATGAATGCTCTGTGTACATTTTTAGCGCAGAATCTCAAAAATGCCAAATTCTGAGTTTTGACTCTTTTGAAGACGGTGTGCGATATGTACAAACCCCTATATTCACGCATAGATATATATGACTACAATATGCAGCTTTTGCGTAGCTTAACGAAGAGTTTAACAAGTATATTTTCTTAGTAACTTAAGGGTAGAAGCTTATAAAATACTTTTATACATGGGTTTGTATGTTAAAGTATAAGGATCTATGTACGTATGTATGTATATGAGGTTGAATGGCCGTGAGTTCAATAGGTTGTAAATATTTTAGCAGATTTTAAAGTTTAATCACTTGAAGGACACTCCTGTGTCAATACATTTATGTAATCGCGTGACGTAAGTAGGATTCACTTGGGACTAAGAATCAATAACGGATATGCTTAGCAGAATGAGCTGCCGTAAAAGGCATTTGGACTAATTTAATAAGCCAACAAATACTCGTGGACTGACCTGTTTCGGACTCCATCACGCCTTAAACCCAATATATGTAAACATTGTTATGGCTGTCGAAACAGTTTTTATCAATTAATGTATTTTTTTTTTAGTTTCGCTAAATACTTACAAAGTTTCCCACAATTTAATTTTTCTCTTTTAAAATACCTTATATCTAAATCAATATGCACATTTTGCATACCTAGCTCGAAAGTCCGATCAACTCAAAAAAAAAAAAAAAAAATTGGGCGATTTTTTTGCATAACTCAATTCATAGGACTTACATGCAATTGGTGGAAATATTTCTTTCTTTGTGATTATATATATTAACTAAAAAACTACTGTTATACCTTTTTTTATTTATTGCGTTGAATCTGTACGATCCACAAGCAGTTCAATTTTCCCCTCACTTTAGATTTAGGTGTGCGATATGTACATATTGTCGATGTATTTGCAAAACCATCCATCGAACAATTGCAAAACCGCCTATATTATGGCAATCAAATTTTACAGGAGAGCAAAAAAACGGGTTTTCTTTGAGGCGGTATTTTCTCTAGCAATTATTTTACTAATATGTTGTTTTAATAACGATTTTGTGATTTTTATGCATAAATCTCGATGTCTGGAGTTCAGTGTTACCAAATCTCTTTTTTGGCCACATAGGCGATTTAGACTAGTTTCCAACTAGTCGATGGGCGGTTTCGCAAAAACATCGACGGTATGCTTAATTATTTCTAAACCTCTTCTACTGCATTTACACTCCTTACTTTAACTACTAATTTCCCATCCTAATAAGGACATTTTAATATTCGCCAAAAGCCAAGTTTGCAAGCCCCTTTAGCCTTTAAGGCATTTGCTTTAGAGTGTCCTCTGATACTGCATCCTGTTAGACAAACTTTTCGCATACAAATCTTACAATTATACATATGGTAGCTGCATATGAACAAGCATACTGATGTGCTTCTAGTTGTGCATGTGAAAAGTGAAAACTTTTTCCATATCCTTTGCCAAGTTCATTCATGTGGCACTTTTTGCTGAACTTTTAACCAAAATATTTTGCCAGAAATATTTATACACTTCCCCCACTCAAACTTATGACTCCTAATTTAGCTCTTTTTCTCTTTTCAAGCTAGCAAGTTCTCCACCTCACATTCATTCACCTAGCAAATCTTCACTTTCTCATAAAGAAATTCCGTTGTTGCCAAAAATTCCTCTTAGCTATTTTTGGGGTGGTAGAGCAGCATACCATCAACTAATATTCGTGTATTTTTTGAAGTGGGTGGGTGTAAAACCGATTTATTACAATCAAAAACCTTGAAAACTTGCCTGTTATGTGACGGAAGAGTAAAATACACTACATATATTTGTGTTAAAATAAGTAAGTTTTCGTTTGAGCGACAAGTTGGTGGCGGCAGTGGTGGTCATGTGAAAGTCGATGTGTAGATGATGTACATACATACGTACATTGCTTGATATTCGATATACTTACATGAAACTCGACATATCAATAGTAAAAACTCGCAAAACCTTTAACCCTGGAATAGAACACCACGTCGCACAATGGGCAAGTTTCCGTAATTTTTTCCAGCGAGAAATTTTAACTCTACCTGAACTCAACGTGTTGGGCTTAGCCTAAACAGCTGACAGACGTATCGAAAAGACTTACGCCGCTTATTTTAAATTTAACGCCGCTTTGTTAGGTGGCAGTTGCAAACAAATTTATTATATTTTATATTACTGATGTGATAAAGTAACTAAAATATTTTGTCATAACACTACGTTTCTAAATATAGGTTTTTTAAGATGTTTGCTTTATAATTATACACTGTTTAATTCATTATAACATTGAACAATTTTTTCAACAAGGCGGCAGCTCAGCGTTGCATTCTAAATACTATCGGCGCAACTATCTCTCTTTATTGCAATTGCATTAGTTTACATTTATCAGCAGTTCATTTGGCAGCATATTCCTCAAGCCGTTTCTAAGACGTAATTAAAAAAAAATGTG